CTAATATTAGAGCCATATTTCACCAGCCCAGACTGGATTCTGCGCAACCATAAAAAAACACTTTTTAAAATAAGAGAGGATGTAAAAACAGTGTGTTTGATGGGAAAAGTCCAGGTTTTTTAATCTCAGAGAAGTTTGATTTCCCATCCTTACAAAGAAGTACTATGAGTTTACCCTGGTACACTGATTTTTATTTAATTGAAGGCACTTTCATTAGAAGATCTAATGTAAAAAGTAATATTTTATTATATACACTTGAAAAGTTTGGTGTCTGCAAGTGTTTTAAAATCGAGAATGCATTTGTTTAATCATGTGAAATATTATTACAAGTTAAAAGGACTGTTTTCTTTGGAATGTATAGTAAAATATTACTATATTATTCTTGTGATCAAAGCTGAATATTCAGCATCATTACTCCAGTCTTCAGTGTCACATGATCCTTCACAAATCACTCTAATATGATGATTTGAGGATCAAAAATATATTATTATGAATGATTTATCAATATTTTTGTGGTAACTGTGATCAATTCTTTGATGAATAGAAAGTTAAAAAAACCAAATGTATTTGACATATAAATAACTTCTAACATCATAAATGTCTTTACTGTCACCTTTGATCTTAATGTGTCCTCGCTGAATAAAAGTATTAATTTCCGTAAAAATACAAAACATCTAACCGACCCCAAACTTTTCAATAGTAGTGTATAGTTGAAGGTGTTTTGAATGCAGTGTTTTATTTACGTCATGATTGGAAATGTAAGCTAGATTGAAGCTTGTTTTGCACCGAGACTCGACGCGATATGAACGCTCGTTGCATTGTTTTGCTAAACTTTTATGGTGTTTAAATAAACATTAAATGAGTAGATCACTTGAAAAAAAAAACTTTGCTGATGATTTACTCACCCCCATGTCATCCAAGATAAAGTGATCTTTCTTCAGTCGAAAAGAAATGAAGGTTTTTCATGAAAACATTCCAGGATTTTTCTCCATATAATGGACTTCAATGGGGTCCAAACGGTTCATGGTCCAAATGAGAGTTTCAGTGCAGCTTCAAAGGGCTTTAAACGACACCAGACGATGAATAAGGGTCTGAATAAGTAATTTCGTTCATTTTGTTCAGTGATTCGAAAAAAGATTTGTTCATTTTGATGAACGAGTTCAAACAGGAGAGTCACGAACGCGCATCACAAAACAGAGCAAGGCGAGCATTTGAGCTTATAAAACGTAAACTTTTGTATTTATTTTTGAAATTACTGATTGTTTCGCTTGATAAGACCCTTATTCATCGTCTGGTGTCGTTTAAAGCCCTTTGAAGCTGCACTGAAACTCTCATTTGGACCTTGAACCATTTGGTCCCCATTGAAGTCCATTATATGGAGAAAATCCTGGAATGTTTTCATCAAAAACCTTAATTTCTCTTCGACTGAAGAAAGAAAGACATGGACATCTTGATTGACATGGGGGCGAGTAAATTATCAGCAAGTGTTTTTTTAAAAGTGATCTACTCCTTTAATAATGTCAGTCAATACTGATCATTACTGCTATATATCGTACCTTTACATCACGCTCTGTTTTGCATTATGGCGCAGGAGTGTGTGTGAGGACTGAGTCAGTCGTGCAGTTGTTGGCGGGCGGCAGTGGAAAACATCACTCTATAAATCTGAGCCTGTAAATGTGAGCAGAGACACATCTTTTCCTTGGATAAAGACTCTAATGTTGGGAATAACTCTTGTGATTTTTGCTTGTGGGATCGAGTGTCTTTCTAAAACAACACTGGATCTTTAAGAGCAGTCGGGCTCGTGTTTCTCGGCTCATTCGCTGTAGATTATTCTCCAGATTATGTCCGTGTGCGTCACAGGTTTCAGTTTTTGGTGTGGAAAATGTCAATGTTTTGTTCTGTGTGTGGAAGTTGAAGTAAATCACATGTGGAAAAGCTCACATTATCTTTATCATCCTCTTTAATATGGCTCATGCTGTGCTTTGTTTATCACTAGTTTCCACTTTTAATAGCCCATTTTAATGAGAAAACGGACCCGTTTATTCTCCAGTGTAAACACTCAACTTCTCAAATGTTGGATTCAGTAGTTTACTTTTCTTCCCAACTGGTTCTCATTATGTCTGAGTGATGTACAGTAAATGCATCTGTCGAACACTCCAGCCGATGCCGTAGCCGAGGCTAACGTTATAGCAGCTTTAAACAACTCATTCCCTATTGCAAAATACAAAATATCTTGTTTTTCACACAGAGGAAATCACACACACACACTCTGAGTGAGGTGAGGGTGAGTAAATAATAACAGAATTGTTCATTTATTGCTGATCTTCTCCTGTAATGTATCCCAGCAGTGGGAAAAGTGCTTTCGGAGGACGCCCTGCATACCGGAGTAAAGATAGTTTGCGGTTTGATTTTCAGATTTCGTTTCGCTGTGGTCCCGCAGTGCGGTGTCGTGGACATGCAAATGATATCTCATTTCGTTATTTATGATTTGTGAATTCGTGTAACGGTGTTACTCCGGTCCGAAATTATTATTATTTTTTTTCTGAATTTTACTTTTTAATTGGGTATAGCTCCAAAAGTCGGTCACTTACAAGTCTGAACCCAGTGTCATCTTGACATGCTAGATTTGTGAATTTTTTCACAGCAAAGCTTCTGTCTGTAAACCATTCGCTATGTCCGGTAGACAGGAATGTGGAAAATAGGCATTTTTTTCGTGTTTAACAATGTATAATAGCAATTTATAATAAACACAAACACCGCTGGATTACAAAAACACTTGTTTTAGATTAAGCCTGATTTGTGAAAACCTTCCAGAGGTCAGTTTGGGTCAGTGGAAGGTTTTCACAAATCAGAATAACCAAGTTAACCACTCAAGGTGACCCAAACTGACCTCTGGAAGGTTTTCACAAATCAGGCTCAATCTAAAACAAGTGTTTTTGTAATCCAGCGGTGTTTGTGTTTATTATAAATTGCTATTATACATTGTTAAACACGAAAAAATGCCTATTTTCCACATTCCTGTCTACCGGACATAGCGAATGGTTTACAGACACAAGCTTTGCTGTGAAAAAATTCACAAATCTAGCATGTCAATGTCAAGATGACACTGGGTTCAGACTTGTAAGTGACCGACTTTTGGAGCTATACCCAATTAAAAAGTAAAATTCAGAAAAAAATAATAAAAATTTCGGACCGGAGTAACACCGTTACACGAATTCACAAATCATAAATAACGAAATGAGATATCATTTGCATGTCCACGACACCCAGTGGTGGAATGTAACGAAGTACAAATACTTCGTTACTTTACTTAAGTACATTTTTCACGTATCTTTACTTTACTTAAGTACAATAAATAGTGCCTACTTTTTACTTTTACTTCGTTACATTTTGCAGCAATTATTATACTTTCTGCTCCACTACATTTCTACAACTTCTGTTACATTTTCGTTACATTTTTCTGATCAGTTTTTCCCCTGCCAAAACGTAATCTGACCGTCCGACTCCGTTCGTTGCACGTTGTCTCACCAGTGACGTTTGGTTGCCATAGATACAGTATCAACCCGGTCACACTAAATGCGTCTCACACGCAATCATGCAACTCATACGCGAAAATTTGTTTTTACGTGCATAGGAAACACACCGTGTGTAATATATGTTTGGTTTGGTTAGGATTATGGCAAGCCAAGAGGTTCAGAATTACACCATAAATGAATCGCGTTTACTGCCAAACATGGTTATTAATATATAGTAAGGATAAGCATGATATTGCCTAATTGCAAGCTTGTTTCAGAAATGGTGACATTTTTTTTTCCATCATTATAGGAGTATTAGGTTGAATGAGTTAGAATTAAATGTTTTATTAATCATTAGAAAATAGACATTAAGATAATAAATTGTTATGCAAGTACTTTTACTTTTAATACTTAAAGTACATTTAAAATAAAGTACTTTTTACTTTTTACTTAAGTATGGTTGTCATTGTGTTACTTCTACTTTTACTAAAGTAAATATTTATCTGGGTATTTGTACTTTTACTTAAGTACTGAGATTCAGTACTTCCTCCACCACTGACGACACCGCACTGCGGGACCACAGCGAAACGAAATCTGAAAATCAAACCGCAAACTATCTTTACTCCGGTGCTCTGCATTGCCGTGTCGCGTCTGCGTTGCTCCACCGGAGAGTGTAGCGTAGCGTCTGCTGTTCTCTGCCCTCGCGAGGACACGCAGGTCACTGATAACCAGAGGCCAACGGGCAAATAACTGATGAATGCAGCTCAATTTAAACGCAGAGATCACATTCTCAGATTCTTGGGCCTGTCTTCTGCATCTAATTGATACGAGCCCGTGGGCCGCAGGGCCGGTTATGGAGATGTCAGAGGAGAACGTGAACCCCTCACCCCGAGAGCTTCATGGAGACAATAGCAGCAGAGTTGAATTGCAGATGTTTGGGAAAGTGGAGTGTTTTTGGTGACCTGGTGCAGCGCTGAACCCTCGAGCTCTCCAACCCCACCTCCATTTCTCTGCATCTTACAGTTCATGTTTAGTGTAAAAGCGGTAAACGTATGTCCGTTAGTAACCTGAATATTTTTATTTATTTATTTATTTTTAAACCGGGACAATGCACATTAATCAACACCGTAGTAAAACTTCAATGTAAATGTGCCAGAGTTAGCTTTAATAGCTCATTTTCATCCGTAGTCCCTGTGCCGGTCATGTCCAACATCATGAGATTACAATTAATAGTATTACATCCTTTAATTTGTGTATTTTTATAGGTACTGATATTATCAAATGCTGTATGAGTGTGTGTGTATATTGTGGATAAATGTATACATGTGGTAATGTTGTTCATATGAATGTTATATTTGTGTATTTTAATTGTACATATGTTTCAGTACTTTATGGGTCCCAGGAAGACTAGCAACCACATTGTGGAAGCTAATGGGGATCCAGATAAATAAATAAATAAATCAATACAGAAGTGCAATGTTCAACAAATACTGCAATGAAAAAATACAAAAAGCCCTTGAGCAAGACATTTGTTTGCAGTGAGCGAAACTTTGTTGTAAACCCATGCCTTTCCAAATGAAACAATATTCAATAAGAGAAAAAGCAGGGCAGATATTCATGCATCAGGAATTGATTGATATTTATACGACAGGTGTTTGAAATATAAGAGGGACTGATGATATTAACCAAAAAAGAAAAAAAAACCAGAAAAATGTATTTTCTTAAAGTATTATGCTTTTGTACATCAACCCGATCTCATGAGAATTCGTACGAATTTTACGAGGTGGCTAATTCGTAACAATTCGTACGACCTCACTCGTACGAATTAGTACGTTTTTGCTAAATCGTACATATTTTACGAATTCGCCAATTCGTATGAATAACCTACCCCTGACCCCGCCCCTAAACCTACACATCACGTGGGTTTGGACAAATCGTACGAATTCGTACGAGTGAGGTCGTATGAAATAGTACGAATTAGCCACTTTTTAATCACTCGTACGAATTCATACAAATTGGTCGTGAGATGGCGTAGGTTCAACTTTCTTTAGTGTGTGATGTTGAAAAAGGTTGTTCTTCTCTAATTCACTTTCAGTGTTTCTTAACACATGAAACGCCTCCATTGTAGTCTTGAGTTTCTTCCGGGAATGAACACGTCACAATATTCCTCATTTAAATAATTAAAATGTAGAATAAAGGGGCGGGGCCTGGTTGAGTTTGTTAGTAGTGTGTTGAAACTGGCGGTTATGGTAAGGGGCGGGACATTTCCCAAACACACTCGAAGCGCTTGACCAATCACAACACACTGCTACAGCTGACCAATCAGAGCACAGTGTGCTTTCAGAAGGAGGGGCTTCATAGAGACAGGAACTAAACAGAGCGTTACTGACAGACTGGGAAGAGAGGAGCCGCAACAATGGAGAATATGAGGAAAATAATGTGTTTTTTTGAACATTACATCCTAAAAACTAAATCCAGACTTTGTAAAAAGGCATAGATACAATTCTGATTTCATTATGAGCAATTAATCAGTGCTCATATTCGCAAAAATGTCATTGGCTTATGTTCTGCTGTTTGTGTGTCTCAGGGGATGTTCAGAGCTCTACCGTATTCCTATGGTGGAGTATAAGCTGGACAGTGAAGGAACGCCCTGCGAGTACAAGACGCCCTTCAAACGAAACACCACCTGGCACCGTGTGCCCACCAGCAGCCAGCCGGTCCCCCGCGGGTCCCCCACACAGGGCCCCGACCGCACGCCCTGCCAGCAGGTCCTCCAGAGCGCTATCCCACGCAGCACCTCTTTCGACAGGAAGTTGCCAGATGGACCCAGGTATCACTTCAATTCACGTTTATTTGTATAGCGCTTTTCACAATACACACCGTTTCAAAGCAGCTTTACAGAAAGTCAATTACTTAAAGTTATGCATTTCAGAAATGTGTATATATGCTAAATCATAGTTAGCTTAAATATGTATTAATTTAAACAATGTAATAATTTAATGCTGATATAAAGAGTTCATTGAAGTATGATTATGACAGAAAATATAGCATTGGTGCATGTTGACTCAGAGTTTGCGTATTATGAAGTGTCCGCGGGGTTTGGCACCGTCACATCAATCAGGTTACTTGTTGCTTATCAATAAGTTTATAAAACCCAAATCATTCTAGATAAATGTACAGTTTTTATATAAGATTAAACTAAATATATTAAATTAATATTATTTCTGTTACTCATTATATTTTAACACCACAGTTTCATCTTTTTGTGTCTTTTTCATCACATATACACACAGAAACTCAAAGGACAACCCGCTAAAATAAAAGTTTGAAATTATGACAGAAATATAATTACTATTGCACAGTATAGTGTACTTCTGAAAGTAGCAGTCTTCATAATAAGAAGAATAATAATTGTTAAAACTTAATTACATACTTTTTCTTCCATGTTTTAAGTTTAGCAGTAAACAAACATCTTTTGTGCTGCGCATTGTTTGGCAAAAAATAAAAGTGTTGTTAAATTAATAAATAAGAATATATTTTATGCCTTTATTTGATTGCCTTAGTTTTTAATAATACATTTGTATTATTCAGAAATATTTTAACAGAAAAACTGAATAAAAATAAAGCATTTTGTTAAAAAAATAAATAATAATAAATATGTAAAGTTTTATGAATTAATTTGATTTGCTTTTTGACTAATGCAATGTAATTAAATCATTGAAACAGAATCAAGAAAATTAAACCAAAAAACATGGATTCTGGGATTAATAAAACAGCATTTGGGAAGAAATAAAACTGCTTTCATATGGCACTAATCGCCGTCTTGTCATACGTATGAATATCAAATTTTCAACAAGATAAAAGTACTCTTAATACTATTTTTTTTTTGCAGTGCATAAATATGTGAAAATTGCAAGAAAAAAACCCTGTCTGTTGTCATTTCGTGTCATGCAACATTTTCGTTTGCAGTGTGCACTATCGTTTACTTGCTGCTGGAAAGTGATGTTGCATTTCCAGTGTTCTTGCCATACCTACTGACCCAGAACATCCTGATTCAGGCTCCTGTGTTTGGTGTGCATCATGCCTTTCAAATAAGGTCTGTTATAATGTGGTCATTTGTTCTTACTTGGAGCCCCTCGTGGTGTTGATGACCTTTCCAGACTCTAGTGTGAGACCGCATGTGGAGAGAGCTGTGCATATAATGCCACTGAAGTTACTCGACTTCCTCTTTCTGCTGATGCATTAATGCTCAAACACTAAAAACACACTGGACACCTTCCAGAAATGTCCTAGCAACCACTTTAACATATATATCAGAATGTTTGCACATGCAATTCATAAAAGATGAAATGTTTCTGTCACAGTGGTGTATTAATATACTAGAATGCATATTGTCCTGTGCCATTTTTGGTCACCATGCTAATTGTGCAAATGACCTTCATTAAGTCTTATTTTGCGGTTTCGGAGGGTGTATGTGATGTATGCATGGAGAATGAGAGCACTGCTGATTTCTTTATTAAAGCTGACAGAAACAGAAAAGCAATGCAGGAGCCGGAATATCAGATGCTTGAGTTTTCACCGCCAGGACGTGTGATTGGATCCCTGACGGTTTAGTAGACAGGTTCTTAGTGACGTATACATTATTATCATTCTACTTGTGCTATTTTTGGAGTATGCATCAATAAAGGTTAGATTATGTTATTTTTAATACTGTATGTACCATTTTATTTACTGGAAATGTTGATATTCTGTGCACATCTTCTGTATGCATGGAAAACCCAGATGCACATTTGCCCAAATGTCAAGTAAATTGCATGAATGTTTACCTTTAAATGGTTCAAATCGATTTGAAAGCATGATAATCTGACCGTTATTGATGTCAGATTAAACTGAATGATGTTTAATGAGTGCAGCACGAATGTCTCCGTGTGTTGCCTAGTTATCCCAATTATCCACTGTTAATTCATTACATTTTTAATTAGTTTATTGGAAATAATTAATGTATTAATAAAAAATATTTAGAACAAATATAATATAAAAAAAATGTGGATTAAAATTTCTTTATTTCCTTATATTATTACTAGGGCTGTGCAAAAATTAATTGCGATTAATCGCATCCAAAATAAAAGTCTGTGTTTACATAATATATTTGTGTGTACTGTATATAATTATTTTGTATATATAAATACCTATGCATGCATGTATATATTTAAGAATTATTTGCGCTTAAATTCTATGTATATATATGAAGGGTTCAGATGCAAAAGCCTCTAAATGCCATTTGAAATTTTCTTCTTTAATGATGATTTTTATCAAGCTTGTATATTTAAGTTCAGTAATTTCACTTAAATAACAATTAATAGGTAATTATCATTGCCATTTAAGTGAAATCACTGAACTTAAATATACAAGTTTGATAAAAATGATCATTCTAGAAGAAAATTTCAAATGGCATTTAGAGGCTTTTGCATCTGAACTCTTCATATATATATATATATATATATATATACATAATCTATATTATATAAATATAAATATTTTATATATGAATAACACATTTTCTTAATTGTATTTGTATTTATATATACAAAATAATTATATACTGCACACACAAATATATTATGTAAACACAGACTTTTATGTTGGATGTGATTAATCGCAATTAATTTTTGCACAGCCCTAATTATTACTTATATATTTCATATACTATATTTAATCTTATCTTTTAAGAGGAATTTCTTCTGTCAAATGTTGTTCATCAGACGTAGGTTGATTTGATTTAGTATTTTTAAATGAGTTGAATTTGTTATCTAGGCATTCATCTTCCTCAAGATTGATAAGAATATTATAGTAGAATTAGTTTTTTTATGTTGTGTGTTAGCCGGTCTGATTTAAGCATCAGTTGAGGGTGAGTAATAATTTTTTATTTTTGGGCGAATGAACCCTTTAACACACATTCGGCTTGTTCCTCGTGTGCGGCGAGTGATTGTTGATGTCGTCTTGCCTCCACAGACTGAAACCTGTTGCTGATGCCAGACTGAGCCGTGGTGTCAGTGGTGTCAGTGTCAGGGGCGCAGCTGCTGTGAGAACCAAACCCATCTGTTCTCTGTCTTTCTCACGCTACAGGACGGCTCAAGACATGGAAAGCCCTCAGATGTCCTGCAGTAAAGGAGAGGCGTCCCAACACTACCGCAGTTCGCCCAGTAACCAGTCGTCCTCCAGTGACCCCGGGCCCTGTGGGAGCGCTAGCTGGAACCAGCAGCCCGGATACGACGGGTAACATGCCGACTCAAACTCGCACAGTCTTTTTTTGTGTGGCATAAATAATTTTGTATTTATGTAGTTTGTTATCGGTATTTATTTTGCATACATTTTGGTTATTTGAGTTTAGTTAAGCATTAACGTATTGGTCCAATTAATAATTTGATTAATATAAATTAATACAAAATATATTAAAATATGAGTTGAGTTATTATTTAGTAGGGATTTACTGTATTTAAAATAATATTTTATTATTAAACAATTATTATAATAAATAATAAATATAATTATTTTAATAATAAAATAATAAATGTATTATTAATGTATTAATTAGAAAGATTTATTCATTTTTATTTAACTGGTTTTAAACTATTTAATATTAATATTATTTATTACAATATATTTTTCCTTATTCCATATACTTGTTAGAAAAATTAATGTTTATCATAATATCCACCTGATTTGGATATTTAATATAGTGTAATTTATTTAGTATGGATTTACTGTATTGAAAATAATTGTTTATTATTAAACAATTATTATAATAAATAATAAATATAATTATTTTAATAATAAAATAATAAATTTATTATTAATGTATTAATTAGAAACATTTATTCATTTTTATTTAACTGGTTTTAAACTATTTAATATTAATATTATTTAATACAATATATTTTTCCTTATTCCATATACTTGTTAGAAAAATTAATGTTTATCATAATATCCACCTGATTTGGATATTTAATATAGTGATTTGGAGTTTATTTAATATAGTGTAATTTATTTTAAATAAATTAATTTCTGAATACATATTCGACTAATTCATATTAATATCATTAAATATAATAAAATCATATATTTTGTTTCATCATATAAAAACTGTTCATCTGATATAGGTTGATTTGGGCTTTAGAAATTAATTAATAAGTAATGAGAAACCTGGTTAATGTTCAGGCACAGTAATTGGTTATTGACTGATTGGTGCTCGAGTTTTAGTCATCCACAAATGCGTTTAGACTTGTCTTTAGCGTAACCTTCACACAGAGGACGTTTGGAGAGTGTGAGATAATCAATCCATTATCAATCTTATCAAGGCTGACGTTTCTTAGTATGAGTAAAGAAATGAGCTATTGCTATATGAATTTGAACGTAGTGTGTGATCACAGCTGGAGGTCAAACTGCACATCACTGCACTGCAATCAAAGATGAATAGCCCCAAAAAAACCTGGCTTTCATTATCTTTCTTTGGCTGATTGAAGTCCTTTCCTTCCACAGGTGTCAGTCTCCCGTTCTCCACGAGCGCTCCGCTGAAGCCCAGTGCATGCTGGGAGACGGGGAGAGAGAGCCCACCCTTGAGAGAACACGCTCTGCAGGTGAGACACACAGTGAAGGTCAGATGGACATCAGCCACTGACCTGGAAACACAATGGAAGTTAATAAAAAAATAGGTTGCACGATTCTTTAAAACCTGAAATTGCGATTTGGGCTTAGTGTGATTGACAAAAAGAACGTAATTCAATAAATATATGTGTTTCAGAGTGTTCATTTTAGAGCCCGACCGATAAAGGATTTTGAAGGCCGATGCCGATACAAATATTTGTTGGTTTTAAAATCCGATATATCGGCCGATATTATTATTTTTTTTATTTTAGAAACGCGCAACAAAACATTAACAGATTTCCCTAACATTAGTTATTTGTAGTTAATTATGAGTTTTAACTAAAATAATATGATGATGCATAACTGGTTCTCTCTGCCCGACTCTGTTGCAGGATGTGTGGCGCGTTATACACGAGTGTTGCCAACAGGGACGGTGTAGAGTGCCCTCTGGTGGACAAACTATACAACTCCAACACTCATGACATGGTTGAAGCGTGATTCGCCCGTTTTTATTTTATTTTTGAAATATTCATTTATCGGCCATTTTAGAAAATGCCTAATATCGGCCGATAATATCGGCCTGGCTCTAGTTCATTTACTCGTGAGCTTGTGGTTTTCCACCAAAATAAAAGCTTGATAGTTTAATGTTTGAAAATTAAGACATTAAAGGGATAGTTCACTTTAAAATTAATTTTTGGTATGTTTTATCTTACCACAAGGCCATCCGTGATGTTGGTGTCTTTGTTTCCGCAGTATTTTCAATTTTGATATTTTTAGGTCAAACCGTTCGTGTCTGTCAGTCATATAATGGAGGTCTATGGTCACCACCTCAAAGAGCATGCACAGAGAAGTCCAAATTAAACATGATTTAATGACTCGTTAATGTAAGTACACATTGATGACCTAAGACACGAAACGAGCGGTTTGTGTGAGAAAACGAACAGTATGTGATTTTTCGAATATCATAGATGATTAGTTTCCCATCTAATGACCGTATTAGACCGTGTCTGTGCTCTTATGTTCTCTTTAGTAAGGTTTTCTGGGAAACTCAAAGCTCTTATGCTTTATTCTGTCTCCACAGAGGCGAAATGGCACGTCCCTTCCACCAAGATCCTCAACTCTTTGAAGGAAAGAGGGAAGGATTCACCGAACAAGTTGACGCGGGTAAGACGTCTCCCATGTGAAAGGATGCCTGTGATTTTGCCAAGAAAAGCTCGTTTCTGGATCAACATCATTCATTCTGATCCTGAAAGAAGATTCGGGAGGAACAAACATGTTCCAGACATTAATTACCCTTAAAAAAGCTTTTTAAATCCAAGGCCAAGATTGTCCACAATAATATTCAATATTCATTCCTCATGTCCACTAATAGGTTTCCTCTGGTACATCTGCTTTAATGAGACAGTTTTATTTATTACAGTTTTATTTATTTACTGAAACTATGAGTGTTTATAGATTAACCCTTTGGGAACCAAGGTGTATTTGAGGTCCTTGAGATGTTCTGACATGCCCTGACATCAGTTGCTTATAAACATATTAATGGCACAGGTGAAATTACACTATATTTAGTACAAACAGGGCTACCATAATATGTGAGCAACATGTATGTACATGTTTGTATTTTTGAGAGAATATTGTTTATGCGTGGTTATTGAATAAATAGGTAACTAAAATAATGGGAACACTTTTCTTGAAGGGGTGTGCTTACCTTCATAATCATGACATGACATATGTTCTGAATATGAAGAAGTTCATAAGTTTTACCAAAATAATATATTGGAAATTAAATAAGGATTTAAAAAAATATATATATTTAAGAATCAGGTGTATAGTTAATTAAAACTAAACCCATTTTAAAAAGCATCTTGATCAACTATAATAGAATAAAATATTTTAAATGTAAATTTATTTCAGCTACTTGCCAAAGCATTTCTCATTTTCATTTAGTTTAAGTTGATTTACTACTATTAAAACAGAAATAAAAAACAGTTAGCAACTGTTTTATATTGATATAAATGAATTCGTTTTATCAAAATAAGAATCTTCTTGAAGCCGCAAATCGAATGCTAAAAATGGTTTGATGGTAATTTTAGACTCCCGGTCGTCCTACACACAGCTGTAGAGAAGCTCATGAGGTCCAGTTCATTTAAAGTTCGGAAGACCGCTGACAAAATAAACCATGTGGTTTATTTATAATTCAGTTGGTCAGTTGGCTAGCCCGCAGGCCTTTGTTTATATATGCAATTGTATGTTTATAAATGGCGGACTAATTCATAATCTTGGGGAATTCCCTCTGTGAAATCTACTGCGGGAACGGTGTTTTAATGTGGTTAAATGAATGGAGACGTTTCCAGCTCGTCTTTACGTACAGTAGGCTGAAAAGCTTGATATGACGCGCACACACGCACGGAGTCCCGCTAGTCGTGCTGTCAGTGTGTGTGTGCATCAGTGTGATGAATGAATGGTGATAAGGTCAGTCTGCCCTTGGTGCTGGCGCTCTGTGCTGTTATCAGGGACGTGCTCGTGTTTGTCTGTCTCTCTCGCCATCTATCTCACCTTCAATGTTAGTTTTACCCAATATCTCTCGCTCCCTGTTCCAGTAATAGCATCTGACCACCGGCCGCCGATTCAAAGTCTTTTACACCGATTCCTGTTGTGAGCATCTGTACATGCGTGTAAGCTCTCTTCCAAAATATTTGAGCTGAAATGATCCTTCTACTATACATGACTGATTTGAAATGATGTCTTATGTAGAATCTCTGCTAATGAGTCTGGTTTTAGCACTAAGTTACCTGTAGTTTCCATCCACCTATTTTTATGTAAGTTTTGGGACTGCTAGATGCAAAGAAATGTGCATTAAAAAAACTCCTGTGCTTAAAGGGAATAATGTGTATTTAAAATGGGTCATTTATATAGAAGAAATGTGAATTTGGAGCTTTCTAGACTGAGAAAAGCCTGAAAATGTATAAATCCCTTGATTCGCATAAAAAAAAAAAAGTCATGTGACTTCTCAACGGGATGTGATTGCAATTGCATCACAGCATCTCAAATGTTGTTTTGGTCATTTTGAAAAGCCTGAAATGTCATCTATAGTTTGTATAATGACCTCATCTGGTATCCTTCTCCGAACGCCAGATAGCAAGCGTTTATGGTTTCGTTTGCGCTTTTTGAGACCCGAGTCATTCATGATGTATGAAAAAGAGGCACAGCTTCTTGCCCGACTGCAGCGACTTCCAGTTTTATTGCAGATATTTTGCACGAATTTCCTAGGAAGTGGTTTTGTTCTCTTGAACGCATGGGATGGAAACGGCTTTGTTCGCAAATGTTTTTAAAATGGCAACTTTGCATGGAAACATAGCTAGTGTTATGCTTTAATAAGCGTAGAAAATATTGAGTGAAATCATTTTTAAGAAAATTTTAAATATTTTATTCATACTTTAGTGTGTTTAGAGCTTGTTGCAAATGCAAATTGCAATATTTTTACAGAAATTAGGTAAAAGTTGCCAGGCCTCGTATAATAGGGATGCTTTTTTGCTATTAAACTGTGTTGTAGTACGAACATCTTCATTTTCCTTCAAGGTAAATTAATGTTAATTACACTCATTTTATTACTTCCTTCAAACGAGGCCTTTTCTCTTTCAATGACTGTTGGAAGCGTTCGCCTCTATTCTGATTTGCAGTCACTGCAGTTTTTAATCACCTTACTTTTTCTATTAAAGAAAATGGCATATAATGTCTTAATTCATTCCATCCCACGTTTAGAATAATACCCAATCAGTTTTTACCACTTCATGCTGTTCAAATGAATCTCAAGTGCCGTGTTCTCTAATGCTTTTCTCCGTTAGCAACTCGGTTGCATTGGAAACTTTTAGATCCTGGGGATGTTTAATCTACGACATATGATTTATTGTGTGTGTGATGAAGAGCTATAGGGGGTTTGCAGCTGTAGAGCCTCTTAACAAATATGGAAAACCATGATAGATTAAAGGACGGTCTCATTATCCATGTTAAGTGGAATGTGTTTTACAGCTGCATTAATGAGTTGGATCATTTCATGTCAGTCTAAAAGCAGGTTTAATGTCCAAATCACAGTCTCTTAATTATGTTTGTTGTTGTCCGTTTGCCTTTTACCATCTATATCAATAACTTAACATTTTCATCTCTGAAATGGTCTCTGATGTGACGTCTGTTGCATTGTCTAAAATGCCGTTGGCCGTATCCACCGGGAGATATACATGGGCGGCTTTCACCACAGGCTCCCCTCTTTTAATTTATTACCCCTATTGTCTGTGCACTAATTAATAATGAATACAGCTCATATTTGCATACATTACCACCAGTCACAGAATTATTCATTAGCTCACAGTAATTAGTTTTGCTGGTCTTTCCAGTGTGCAGTGGTACATTTAAATTGGCATGATATTAGTTTGGACTAAAGAAGGTGTCACATGACAAAGAATATGACCCGTTTTCCATCTGCTAATTAGAATACAGATGATAATATATGCTAGCAAGCGCAAAACGTCACATAGAGTAGACAATGGCACATTGTTGCAATGTGAGCTACTGAAAAATTGAGCCTTGGTAACTTGATAACTAATATTTGTGTATTTATATATACATATAAAGTCCTATCAATTCATTTAAAAAAATCGCACCTAACGTTAAAGTTTTTAATATTCATATTGTGATAATTTCACATTTAATCTCCAAATTAATGTTGAAACAACTAGAGCCAGACCGATATATCGGCAGACCGATATTATCGGCCGATATTAGGCATTTTCCAAACTATCGGTATAGGCAGTTATAATGGCCGATAAATGAATATTTAAAAAAAAATAAATAAAAACGAACGAAACACGCTTGAACCATGTCATGAGTGTTGGAGTTGTATAGTTTGTCCACCAGAGGGCACTCTACAGCGTTCCTGTTGGCAACACTCGTTGAGTTGTTCATGATACATACATTGCTTGAATAACAATCAAAAGAACATCCCCATCAGTTCTCTTAACTCAAATAAGCATGACGAAATTTGTGACTATCATGTCCAGTTTCAAAATAAATAAAATATCGGCCGATATATCGGAATATCGGATTTTAAAACCCAAAAATTCTATAGCCCTTTATCGGTCGAGCTATAGAAATAACATAAAGACAATAGGCTGTATTTTAAATTTAAAAAGTTATATATTTTAAAGCCTAATAAATGTTAAAATGTATAGCTTTCAATTATACTGTGACGCTGAATTCATAGAGACATCAATAGCAGTATTGGCCTTTCTTTTTATAAAAAGATGCCATTAAAACAATCGTCACATCAACCCATTAAAATAAATGCATTCAATAAATCTGGGCCCAATTCTCTCTATTGGCCCAGTCAGACCAGTTCAGATTTCTACTTGCCCTGTTAAAATGCACAAAAAGTTATTGTTTATATATGAAGAGTTCAGATGCAAAAGCCTCTAAATGCCATTTGAAATTTTCTTCTTTAATGATGATTTTTATCAAACTTGTATATTTAAGTTCAGTAATTTCACTTAAATAACAATTAATAGGTAATTATCATTGCCATTTAAGTGAAATCACTGAACTTAAATATACAAGTTTGATAAAAATGATCATTCTAGAAGAAAATTTCAAATGGCATTTAGAGGCTTTTGCATCTGAACTCTTCATATGATCCATGTAACCTTTGGCTTTCAGGTAGGTCTACTCTAAAAGGAAGGCTATATACAGAAATTGAATAAAGTTATCAAACACTTCACAATCTTCACTGCATAAATTATAAATGAAATATAGATGAATCCTTATTAAAGCTACACGAGTTATTCAGTCTATTCAGTTCTTTGATTATGCTTAATGACAGAAAGCAGCAGGTTTATTTATTATCCCTATTATTAATGTTTCCTTGCTGTGTGTGTCTTCCTCCAGCAGGGCGGCGATAAGACCTCCAGCCACTCCAGCAGTAACACTCTGTCCAGCAATGCCTCCAGCAGTAACAGTGATGAGAAGCACTTCGGCTCCGGGGACCTGATGGATCCAGAGATGCTGGGTCTCACCTACATTAAAGGAGCCTCCACTGACAGTGGCATTGACACCGCACCCTGTAGCATGACCCCAGGGGTGGCCAGTGCGTCTGTGGCCCGGGTCGTGCTCCAGGGCCGGGGCGCGTCTGATCCGGGACACCCCTGGACGCCGGAGCTGACTGAAGAAGGTTCAGTGGAGGACGACCACGGGAGGTTGTATCTTCCTCAGAGCTACGCCGCGGCTATGGCCGCCGGACACACGCCCGCGGATGGGAGTATAGGAGACCTGAGCGAGATCTCATCTCATTCCAGGTGAGCAAAAGAGTGCTGATGTATGATATGTAGCTTGAGGTTGGTTATATTCAAATGGCTCCAAGCGGTGTGTTTTTGCCAACATTATTGATTAGATTCCCACATGTGGAATGCTTCCAGTCTGTTATCTGTTATTGTTTATAAATATGTGCATATTCTTCCAGTTCCACACAAACACACAATCTGGATGTTGTACATCTCACACTAAAATTGTGTGTTTGTGTGTAACTGGAAGAATATGCACATATTTATAAACAACAACAGATTGCAAACTGGAAGCATTCCACAGTATCTGGATATTGTACATATGCAGCTGTGTGTATTCTCTTGGAGAGAGAGGGATGGCGCTTTTTTTAACAGCAAACGGACTTCTATCAATGGCTTTCTGTTCTGTTCATTTTGAAGATGCCGAAAGTGACCTTATTTGCAAAATTCACAGAATCTGCCCTGTTAGCTTAGCTCCTCCTCCGATCCGCCATGTTTATCTCCTCACTAAAGCAGATAGTGGATTCACAAGAATGTCTCAGCTACGTGATAAAGTCTAAATGGTATTAATGCAAACAGAATGCATTTTTCCATTTCACTGCCTTACTTTTCCATTGCTTTTCTATGGAAACATGCTAGATGGACGTGTTTGACCTTGGCAGTGGTGGAATGTAAAGAAGTACAAATACTTTGTTACTTTACTTAAGTAGATTTTTCACATATCTTTACTTTACTTAAAGGAGAACTCCGGCGAACAATGAACCTTTGGTCTAATAAAACATCGGTACATAGTCAACCGTTCTCTGAGATTTGTTTTCATGATAATCGAATGTAAAGAGTTTTATCTCTAAAAACTGTTTAGCGTATAATGCTAGTAATGGGGGCATTGACTAAGTAAAAAGAAATCGCTAGTTTATACCACTAACAAGGCTCAAAATAGCCCCACACTAACGCAGTAACATAATGAGGCTCCATACATGCAAAACGAAGCATTGGGAACTTTGTAAGTGTACAGACCGTTTAATAAGAAGATACTTTATGAAGACAGTTCACTTCGCGTGTACAGACAGGAGCCATCTTAAAAAATAGTCTCGATAAGTCGATCCCCGAACGCCGTTCATACAGTTCAGAAGTTCGCTGAACTTCATACAGTTCAGATCACTCAGCACGACGTTCGTGGTTTGACTTATCGAGACTATTTTTTAAGATGGCTCCTGTCTGTATACACGAAGTGAACTGTCTTCGTAAAATATCTTCTTATTAAACGGTCTGTACACTTACAAAGTTCTCAACGCTTCGTTTTGCATGTATGGAGCCTCATTATGTTACTGTGTTAGTGTGGGGCTATTTTGAGCCTTGTTAGTGGTATAAACTAGCGATTTTTTTTACTTAGTCAATGCCCCCAGTACTAGCATTATACGCTGAACAGTTTTTAGAGATAAAACTCTTTACATTCGATTTTCATGAAAACAAATCTCAGAGAACGGTTGACTATGTACCGATGTCTTATTAGACCAAAGGTTCATTGTTCGCCGGAGTTCTCCTTTAAGTAGAATAAATTGTGCATACTTTTTACTTTTACTTCGTTACATTTTGCAGCAATTATTATACTTTCTACTCCACTACATTTCTACAACTTCTGTTACATTTTCGTTACATTTTCTGATCAGTTTTTCCCCTGCCAAAACGTAATCTGACCATCCGTTCGTTGCACGTTTGTCTCGCCAGTGACGTTTGGCTGCCATAGATATATCAACCTGTTCACACTAAATGCGTCTCGCACGCAGTGCGTTTATCGTGCCATTTATACGCGAAAATTTGTTTTTATGTGCATAGGAAACGTTTGGTTGGGATTATGGCAAGCCAAGAGGTTCAGAATTGCACCATAAATTAATCGCGTTTACTGCCAAACATAGTTATTAATATATAGTAAGGATAAGCATGATGTGCCTATTGCCTAATTGCAAGCTTGTTTCAGAAATGGTGACAACAATTTTTTTCCATAATTATTGAACATCATTATAGGAGTATTAGGTGGAACGATTTAGAATTAAATGTTTTATTAATCATTAGAAAAAAATAGACATTAAGAGAATAAATTGTTATGCAAGTACTTTTACTTTTAATACTTAAAGTACGTTTAAAATCAGGTACTTTTTACTTAAGTATGGTTGTCATTGTGTTACTTCTACTTTTACTAAAGTAAATATTTATCTGTTTATTTGTATTTTTACTTAAGTACTGAGATTCAGCACTTCCTCCACCACTGGAACTTGGCACTCGCATCTTTCACAGTGTCTCGCGCAGGAAATGGCATTGTAAAAAACGCAGCACTCAAGTTAAAAGCTTGCATTTTTAGACGCAAAGACGCGCTGTGAATGGCACCATACGGGAGTAAACAATGCAAGGTCCGTTTAGCGCTTGTTTACATAGAAAATAATGGAGAAGCACCCCATGCTGTTTCCTGTTTTGTTGTCGCTGGAGTATCCAGGCCCAAGTTGTAAAGGCTCCGCCCTCTTTTGGAAAGGGGGGCGGGGAGCAGCAGTTCATTTGCATTTAAAGATATACACACAAAAACAGCATGTTTTTGCTTCCAACCTAAAAAACAACTTGGATACTTTCTTTTCAGGATTCTTTGAAGCATATAAAGTAAAAAAAAAAAAAAATCTTGTGGGGCATCATAAATATATTTACTGTCACAAAAAAACGTACTGAACCCAAACTTTTGAACAGTATATCTTGAACACTCCGGTAGCATAGCGGAAATGATTTCCTGTGATTCCAGTCCAGTTAATCTTCAAGTAGCAGATCCAGTCTTGGGTCAGTTACGTCAATATTACTCATGTGTGTATGAATGAGTGAGTGAATGGGTGAATGTGAGGCCAAATGTAAAGCGCTTTGGTGGCCATTGAGTCTGTGAAAGCGCTATATAAAGGCAGTCCATTTACCATGATTTTCCTGCTAGAGAACCATAGTAAAAATAGGACAGACCCACTATAAGGATTTTTTTGCATTGACCAGGGTGGTTGTGGGGATTGTGCAATTAAGAAGGATTAGGATATTATGAAATATAGATAGCTTTGTGTATGGTGCTCAAATGTTGCATTGGTTATTTTCCATCCATACAATGAAAATTTATTTATTTATTTTTTATTTTTTTTGCACTGCAGAGCAATTCAGGAGGAAGATAATAACTACCTTCGGCTATGTTCAGAGTGTTCTTATATTGCTCAGGATGAGTTGTCTTCAAATGCATTGATAAGTGAGGTGAGGTTTCAAATACACTATTTCAGGGAGTATTATTAGAGCCTTTTGGAGGACAGTTGTGTCAACTAAACCCTTGAAAGCATAGACTGTTACATAAAAGGCAGAATGGCAAATGGTAAAACGTCTACTTGAGATGGACCGGAGAGAATGGCAGCTGTCATGTTGTTGTAGAAAGGTCAGGGTCCTGCTTGTAGCCATGTTGTAAGTTCTGATGTGTGTGATTTTGAGTGCATGTTTGTCTTGTCAGTGCATTTCAAAAGATGCCCGAACAGAGCACTGTCAATGCAGAATCCCAGGGGATCGTTCTTGGATTAGATCACTACTGATCTAATTACTCTTAGAGGGCGTTTTCAGACCTGTATATTTATTTCTCTTCTTAATCTAACCACCGGTGCTTAAATTACTTAGTACAGGAAGTTTTTTTATATTGTTTTGATAGCTGGGTCTCACATTTCACCATCACATGTGCGCTGGCCAGTGGCTCCCACCACTCCGGCAGCCCTTTACCCCACAGTTCCCAGTTCAGGCCCTCTCCAGAACATCCCGGAGCCCAGGCCGTTCCCTACAGTAGCCAGGAGCCCGGGCCCAGCACTGTCGCACACACACACAGCCGCCGTAGGAGGGCCGATGACAAAATGTTCCCGGACGAGCCCCCAATTCAGCCCGAGTGTGGGTGAGTGTGCGGATGTGCGGATTAGGGATGCACAATGATCAGTATTGGCTATATTATTGCTATCAGTCCTCTAATTAAATTAGGCTGATATATTAAACCCAATAAATTATTGATTTTATTAATTCAGATGCAATGAGCTTGATTGGTGCCTTCACATATGAAGCCAATTGGTACAACCCCAAGATTTTTAGTTGACCTATCCGTTCATACAGACACAATCATGCTGGATCTGAGTAAACACTCATGTTATTGATCCATGACACATGCATTTTGTCGTCAAAAATGAAAATGTCGACCATTACTTGACATTCAAGGAAATTTGAATGACTTGCATTGCATTATTCAGGCATTGTTTTATTTTTATGTCAGGCAACAAATCATCCAAATCATTTAATGAGTGGATTATCCCATTTATACCATGGTCATTTGCCAGTATTGACAAGTTAAAGCTATCATTGATGTGTACAGTGTTAAATTTGACTGGAAATGTTAAAATGGCGGTTGTTTTCATCAGCTATGACTTAGATTTAGCATTTTGTCTGCTTTAAATCGGACACAGAGATAAAGTAGTGTGGTAAGGTTACGTTTATTTGAATGTATTTGCCTATCAAGAGAGATAGAGATTTGTGTGTGTATTACCTGATTATGTGCAGCATCTGTTTATTAGCAATAAAGCTGTGAGTTGAATTATTTCAAAAACACGACGTTACCACATTGTAACTTGGCAAAAAAGCGACATATAAATAAATGTGACTTGACTTGCTTAGTAATATAATCTAGTGATTAAGAAGCAAAGTTAATTTATTATTAGAAGTCATGAGGCAGAGTTCACAACATGTCCGTGTGTTAAACGGACTTGGAACTACCTCTGCATTAAATGGTATTATTGCATACCTTTCCGCCAATCAGAATCGAGTATTCAGCCAGACCATTAATTACCAGTATTAACCAAAATTTCCATATCAGTGCATAACTAAATAGGATTCATTTACTGGTATGGTTGGAGAGAAGGTTTTATTTAATTGTTTAGGCCACTAAAAGCAGTATTACAAAAGCCAAGACACTTCTGAGAGTA